GAAAACTGTCAGGGGAGGGGGTGGGACTGCCAGTTGAGGAAAGCTGCTAGGGGAGGAAGGGGCATACCTCATCAACAAGCATACCTGCATGATCAATGTTTGTATACCTAACCCTGAATTGTACCCCACATCTTTAAAATGAAAAAATAAGTTTTTTTAAAAAAGAGCGTGTCTCTCCCCAATACCTACTTCAGAGGTATCAAAGGGAATAATGGAAAGGAGGGGCCTCACAGGGGCAACCAGAGCCCAGGAACAAAAGGTGAAACGAGCTTTCCGAGAGAGAGAGAAGCAAACCTAGGTGGGGATTTCCAAGGTCTGACAATTAAGTTTTCGAACTCATCCTAGAAAAAGTGCTGCATACCTCATTGCTGAATATCACTACGGTCACCTTCAAAGTACTCTCCTCAGGAAGCTATGCACTGATGAATACCAGCACATAGTTCACCATCAATGCAATTTTGCAACTCTTTTTCTAGAATAGCCACAGAGCTGTCATCGTATTACCCTTGATGTCCTGAATGTTATCAAAATGTTTTCCTTTCAATATTTCCTTTATCTCCAGATAAAGGAAAAAGTCACTGGGGTCCAAATCAGGTGACTGGCGGTGGGGGGGGAGGTGCTCCAATACAATTATTTGTTTTCTGGCTAAAAACTTCCTCACAGTACTGTGTGAGCTGGTGCATTGTCATGATGCAAGAGCTCCTTCAGGATCATTTTTGCACATCTTTCTCATGCCAATATTTTCAGTTAAGATTTTCCTGTTTATCAATGTTTATTTGGTCTGCTATGCTTCTCACAGTCAGCAGATGATTTTGGTGCACAATTAAACACATTTTTATAATGTTTCAGTCAGTTCTGCTCGTTACTGGCTGTCCTGACCTCTCTTCATTAGTGACTTCAGGAAAACATTTAATTTATTTGCATACTTCCATTTTCTCATAAACTAGGACTGACATGTTCCTAATTTCACTTCCACTCTTGTCAAGTTTAGCAAGAAATTTTATGTTTGTTTGTTGCTTTAATTCAAGCTCTGACATTCTTGTGACAGCACACAAAAACATACAACAGCAATAATGAACGCCACTTAGCAAGACACCGCCACATGTTAACACGAGCACAGCTGTGAGATGCTGATATTCCAAGGTTATGAAACCTTACTGAGTTGCTTGTACAGTGCTGCCAACATAAGCGCAGAGGGGCAAGTTTGTGAACTTAATTGTCACACCTTGTATAACATCTACCTGAAAAATTGTAAGCTTGCTACAGAGCATTGGCCATTGGTGTTTACTCTCTTCCCCTCCATAAATGAGGGTGTTGATTACAAGCACCCTATCCGTTTCAAGCTTAATAATTAGGGCAAAGAATTTATCTTTTTAGTTCACAAGCCACTGGATAAGTAGAACCACATCTTCATCTGACAGAGAAGACCAGCCATCATCAAGAGGTCCTGTACATTTAGGTTGATGCAATGATTAAAATGGTACTTTGGGTTGCCTCTACTGTGGGTGAATTAATTGTGTTCTCTATGTGGAAGGAAAAGTGAGCAAAGCACAAATTCTGATAGAAACTGTTTGTCTTTACTAAATATTTGTGTGGTCCTCCTCATGTTTCAGTCTCTTTTGCAATTATACTGGAGTTGTATGATGAATTAAGGCCAATGCAATGCAGGTAAAAATGATGTAAGCTGCTTCTATGCCTCATTTTTAAAGCATCCTATGCAAATCAATCTACCCTCTCTCTCCTCACATCAGTGAACGTTGGGGTTCACATGTTCCAAATGACAGCTGTTGGGGTCACATATTCCAGATGACAGCTGCAACTTATAAATAGTCTGAATCTCTGAGTAATTCATTAGGAGAGAGTATTTGTGGCAAGCTGCCTAGCCAACATCAGGCTGTGACACAAGCACAAAGTAAATATCTGTTGCAATATGCCACTGAGATTGTTCTTGCTATAAGGCATAGGTAGCATTACCATGACCAACTGGCGCAGGAAAATTGCTGCAGTGTTCTGTGCCTCAGTCTTCTACCTCTGCACAAAAGAGTAAAGTTGATTGACCCAAGAGGATTATATAAGATAATGTAACAGTAAGAATATTTTAAATAAAGAAAAAAACTTTGGTTTCCTCAAGGCATCTCTAGTTAGCAGGCTTCATTTTTATGATTGATTTCACAAAAAAGGTAGACATTTCACTTTTCTAAGTCTCCATTTCCTCATTGTAACTAATGGACTTAAATAGAATAGATTTAGTGGGAGGATTAAATAAGTCAATTCATGTAAAATGAAATAATAAAGTGCCACCCATAGATTGTGCAGGTTAATGTTATTTTCAACAGCTTGCTATTTGCTAAATACATTGTTAGGTTTGGTTTTTGTTGTTGTTTGTTTTTAACACAAATGTATAGTTTGGGATAATTTCCCTCCAAAACTGATAAGCAGCTGCAGACAGGGTCTCAGTCGAGAAGGAGAGGTAATGAAGCCTACTTGATCTTGTTTTGCATAATGAAAAACTGAGTCTGAGAGTCACAATGCATTTCACAAGACAGAGAGGTCTCCTAAGATAAGGAGTTAAGGAATGGGGTCTCTAGAATCAGCTCAGACTGAAACACTCAGTTGTCTTAGGGATTTTATCATTGGGCCCTAATCCTCAGTTCTCTATTCTTTTGTTCTTCTAAAAGAGGATTGGCATAAAATAAACACCAATATCTCTTTCCAGTCTGTCTACAACTTTGCACTATTAGAGGGAAGCTGGAGCAGAAAGCCAAGAATCCTGATTCCTGGGGATCCCTTTCTGTGGATCACTCACCATTTCTTAAAAAACACTTAAGAAGGTAAGATTTTGTTTTTATGGTGGAGGATCCACTTCCTGCTCATAATTCGGGTCATTTCTGATCGAGTCACCTCCATGCATCAGGCATAAAACCACAAGCAAGTAGTGGATCTACTCTAAGTCAATGCTGAATAAGAAACTTTCAAAAAAGAAAAAGGGAAAAAAAGGCCTTTGAAGCTGCCCCCACTTGCTAGAGACAGCTAAGCAGCTGGATAAAACAGCTGCAGAACTTGGATATCTAAAGACTGATTTTATTTATTTATTTTAACTGAGGTTTCTCTGACTCAAATTAAATCCAAAGCCCAGTGAGGAAAACACAAAAACGGAGTCATGTGCTGATAAGGGTCTCTAAATTCCCAACAAAATTATGAAATTATTCCTACTAAGGAAACTAAGCACTTAACCACGTCAGACAAACACCTCTGAGGTCAAGAACATTCCAAACGTTTTGTGTTGACACAATTTTTGAGATCTCATATCTTCCACATATGCAACTCAGATATTTCTGAAAACAGCCCCTAGGGTAGCATGTCTTTCCTTGGAAGAAGTGAAAAAAATTGGAAGAATACATGGAGAAAGGCTTCTGCCCAGAGTCTGAGTTCCTTTCCAGCATCCTATGGTCCACAAAATCTGCCACATTTTCTAATAATAATAAATATTAACTTCCACTCACTGAGCACCTATAATGATGTGGTCATTCTTGTAAACATTTTAAATATACGAATTCCAGCAACAATCTTCTAAGGTAGACATGATTATCTTCCTCTCTTAGCAGAGTGATTAAGTTGCCCATGGTAATCAAAGTCAGTCACAGAGCCATCATTCAAACTCAGGCATCTCAGATCCAGAGTCTACACTCGACTGTCTCACTTGGAGTTGAGCAGGAAAGAACAGGGAAGACCCAGGTTTTGCCTTTTTAGGTAATTGCAGACCAATTATTCTTTTAATAGATGGGCACTTAGGGATCTTGCAGGCTAGAAAGGGCACTTTCTTTTTTTTTTGAGTTGGAGTCTCACTCTAGTCCAGTGCCTATGACAAACATCAACAGTCAACACTATATTCAACTAACCCAAGGCAAGTCCTCAGAGTCTTAACACATCTGTTTGCACAACCTTTACCAGTCAATTTGATTGAGAGAGTGCAGGACAAGCCAGGAAACAGCCTTGCAGTGTCTCCACATCACTATTCAATGCTGTAACTCACCTCAGTGACCCCATTAAAGGCTGCCTCCCTTTACGGTCTCTCTAAGGAGGTGGCTTAGTGTTAGGTACAAAGGGATATACATACAGGTTATTTTTTCTCCTCTCTTTGTTTTGTTTTTAACCATCAAATTCCTTGTCTGCAATGTGTGCTCAGGGAGTGAGGGTGAACCAGATGTGGTTTTCCAAATGTGTTCCTAAATCCTTGGGGTGTGAGGGTGCACAGGGCTCTCTATTCTGTTTCAAACAAACCCACTTCACAACAGTGCATTTGACAAATAGGGGTTCGATATCATTCCACTTGAAAAGGGCTTTAGAAGCTAAGCAAGTAGTTTGAAAATGCACAGGAAGTCCAGATTAACAGGAACTATCAGTGTGACTGATGTCTCATAGCATTAAAATCCACGGGCACTAAGAGTCTGTGATCACTAGATTAAATCATAGTGGTGAGGTTATGGTGTACTATCCTTCCTGGTTAACAGTGACCCAGCTATGTCTAGAGCTGCAGAGTCCTCTCTATATTTGGATGGGCGCCTAGAAGAAGTTTTAGGGCCCTTTCCTGACCTCCTAAATCCTAAAGACCACCACATGAACACAGGGATAGAGGAAGGTTCTTAGATCAACTCATTCCTGAGGTCCTTGGTTTTCTTGCTGATTTTCACCACTACAGATGTCCACTAACATTTCATAATCACATATCCTTCCCTAACTACCCTGAGTCTCAGGATAGATGATAAGTCCCACCCACTAGCTGGTCTCTCTTCTATCCGGCTAACTTCCCAGGACTTGGTCAACAATTCAAGATCCCCCCCCACCTTATCATGACTCTGTCCAGGCAGAGACTTCACTGGAAGATCACACCCTCTTTGTTCCCTATAAAAGGCAGGCTGAACAGCCAGAGGAGCAGAGAGTCTGAGACCAACACAGGAATCTCCAATACGCAAGTTGAAGTTTGCCCCTCGCCCTCCAACATGAAGGTCTCTGCAGCGCTTCTGTGGCTGTTGCTCACGGCAGCCACCTTCAGCTCCCAGGTGTTTGCTCAGCCAGGTAAGATTCCCTAACTCCTTATGGGAAAGCTAACTACCCCCAGGGTTACCAGGCCAGCAAGAATGTTTAGAGACTCATTGCAAATTCTGCATTTTAAGGATGGGAAAACAGGTTTCATGTGTAGACAAAAAAGTTTCCAACCTCTTATCCAGTCACTGGAAGAGTCAGAATTAGAAGTTCAGGCTCGTTCCCATGTTAAGTGCTTATGCTCTAACATCAGAATATGATATTGAGAGGGATGCTGTGTGCATCCATGACCCAGTTACCCTTATAATGTTTGGAGATAGGGCACACTGAAGAAAGACCCTTTCTTACTAGGGTCATGGTGGGCACTTTTGGCGGTGGGGGAGGGGGAAATATGTTGATTGGAGGCCAAAATGCTTGTTAGACTGTAGGACAGCTTTCAGAGACAGTGTTTAAAAGAAAGGATGGGGTCCCAGGAGAATCTCATGGGGTGACCTATTTTGACTCTATTTGGGGAAAAAATCTACAGCATTTGTTCCATAACTCATTTTCCCATCCTCTGATGACTTAAATTTACGAAATACATCAGTACCAATAAGCTAGTGCATGCTGTGGTAACAAACAATTCTTAATTATCAATGACCTAACAAAAGTGACTAACAAAGGTCAATTTCGCACTCATACTAGGTATGTGTAATGTATGGGCTCAGGCTTCTGCATGATATACTTGAGATTCTAGACTGATGGAGCAACTGCCTTCAGGAACATTGCTGGGTACTCTGACAAAGAGAAAGAAAGTTCTAGAGGGTGTTACATGGGGAGCACACTCTGGCTCAGAAAGGACACATGCCACTTTGTCTCCTCCATTGTTGGTCAAACTAATTAATGACTCCAACCAAACAAAAGTGGTCAAGAAATGCAAGTCTACCTTGTGTCCAGAAAATATTTCTTAAACAGTATCATGACTGCTACATGGCCTCATACCTTCTCATAATGACAGAGGTAGGGCTTGTCATGTTGATCAAGTTTTTTCCATACCCCTGTTGGGGTGATGGGTTCCCACTGCCCACGGGAGGAAAATGAGTAAAAGGCAGAGGCAGGGGACTTTGGAGCAGATGGATTCTGCCTCCAACTCTTGCAATTCTTCACCTTCTCCCAACTTCCTTCTTTCTTCACTAATTCGTGCCTTAAAATATCTACATATCATTAATGGCTCATCTTTTGGTTTTCTCCCACATCCAGCTTTTGTCCCACGTACCTGCTGTTTTACCCTGACCAATAGGAAGATCCCTATTCAGCGACTAGAGAGCTACAGAAAAATCAGCAGCAGCAAATGTCCCCGGAAAGCTGTGATGTAAGTAGACAAAGTTTATCCTCTCCCAGACCAAATAGTAATGTATAGGGCCGAGAGTCAAGAACTGTGTCAGAGTTTCTCGGAGTCATAGACTCAGACAGTTTGACCTCTATAATCCAATTCATGAATTTTCACTTTAGTAAATGTTCACTCCCAGCTTCTGGTCTGGGAGCTTATTCAGGTCATACCAGTTCCTTTGAGTCAAAAGCAAAGATAGCTTTGCTGGGCCATCAAAAGCAGTAGCTAACCCTGGAGTCCCATCAATCTCTGTCCTCTTCCTCCACTCCCTCCAAAGCAACCTCTTTGCCCCATGGCAAATAGTCCAGAAAGGTTTAGGGTCCAATGGGCAGAATTTTCAAAAGGTATCCTTCAAATTGCTTCTTCTCTCTCCCACAGCTTCAAGACCAAACTGAACAAGGATATCTGTGCTGATCCCAAGGAGAAGTGGGTCCAGAATTACATAAAGTACCTGGATCAAAAATCCTCAACTTCAAAGCCATAAGCGATCTCTTTTTTTGAGACTAAACCAGAGCCTCAGAAATGCTTGATTTGTTTTCCCTTCCTAAGATGCATTCTGATATAATCTCATATCATTCCAAAACGAATGAGCTTTATTTAACAATTTTTTATAAACATATTGTATTTAAATTATTGGAATTTTAAAACTTATCTTTGTGGGATCAGCAGTCACGGGGCACTGCTAGGGGGAGGATGGAGGAAGAAGGGTGGGGAGCACATGACAACACAAAGGGTACCTACATGGTCCATTACCAGGGAGAGTGAGGGCCACCTCAAAGCCCAAACTTCATCTGCATGAAGCCTACTTATGTAATAAATCCTCACTTGTACCCCATAACTCTATAATTAATAAATAACTGATTGCAAAATAAAACCTTATCTTCCAGAATATCAGTTGTTTTTAAAAAATGTCAAGCTTTGATCAGGTCCTTTTCCCCTGTGAACCCTAATTCAATCCTCTGCCATGTGTGGGCAGTATTACACTTCTTCTCCCTACCTTCCTGGAATCATGTAAGGGTCCCAGCAACAATCATCCATGTAAGCATTTTTAGGAGAACATGGCTCCTGTGAACCCAAAGTGTGACTCATAATGCTAAATGGAAGTAAATGCTGTTTTAGAAATACATAAAATATATGCACACTTTATCACAGGCAGTAGTTGCAATTTTGGGTGGGGAATCCACATTGAGCTGAGAGGGAGAGAGATGGCAGTGGAGGCGAGAGGTATGGTTAGGAGGGTATGGGGGATGGGAACTGTGTTCCTGAGAAATGACCTTTGGCTTGGCTGGTTTCATTGAGATGCAGGGTGAAACTGACACCCATTCCAACCTTCTGATTCCTGTTCCCAGCAATGGTTTCCCAGATCCCAAGAACATGAGTCACTTACCCATCAGGGAACTTTGCCACCATTCCTTGGTTTGCCCACCTCATGATTGTCTCTCCTGTGACCTGTTCCAACAGACTTGTGGCTTCTCCCTCTCCCCAAACTTACTCCTCTGTCTTCTAACCTGGTCTATGCAGACATGAAAGGCATTGGGAAATCAGAGGAAGGCTAGATGACCCTTGACCAGAGGTTTAGATGGAGACTTTATAGACAAGGTGGAACTTAAACTATGTCTTAGTGGATGAACAAGGTGGGGGGTTCCAGTCTAGGTAGAGGAGAAAAGGAATTGTTTGAGCAAATGCCAAGAAGTAGGGATGATCACAGTGTATTTATCAAACTGAGTGGGAGCCCATCAAAAAATGTTAGAGTTGGACTATGAGTGAAATTGTGGGGGGATTTGGAAAGAAGGTTGAGTTCAGGCTGCACAGGTGTGGAGTTTGTGCTCCATTCAGATAATAATAAGTGAGGTGAATATATGATTATTATCAGTCAAGTTAGGGATGCTTTTTTGAGAAGTGGCATCATTAATCATTATTCTGGAAGATCAGATGTAAGTTGACATTTTCCCAGATGGTCATTCTAGTAGTAACAGGCATTGCAAGTTTCAATTCAGTGGGAAGGAAAAGTACCATGGTCAGAGGGGCTTCAGGAAGGGCAACCAGCAGATGGCCATGGTTAGATCAGGAAGGGAAAGGAGAAGCAGTTAGCACCCCATCATGAAGTATGGGCATAAGGTAATGAGGGATAGAATGAAAGCATTGGTACATGGGGAAGGGAGAAGGCAATTGCACAAAGAATGGGCCAAAGCAGTGTGGAATGCTGAATGCTGTGGATGGAGAAATAGGACTGGTAACATGGAAACTTCCTAAACTCCATAGAGCTGTAATTAAGGGCTAGCTGCTTAGACTCAGAAAATTCACTTCTTGCCAGAGACCAGCTTCAGCCGAGTTCAGGGTACCCCAAAGGTGGAGACGGTGTCGGCGATTGGGGGGAAGAAGAAGAGAGAGAAAGAAAGAGACTGGACTCTGGTCTAGTGCAGAAGCGATGTGTGTTATTGGGAATTACAAAGGGGCTTTTATACACAAAGTCAGATGTGGGAGGGGCGTCCCCCACCCACCAGAAAACTTAATCCATGAAAACTTAATCAATGATTGCCTTTAAACACTTTTCATATGA